ACGACTTGTGAGGATCATTCAATCATATCAAGTCAACGATCTCGTACGACTAAGTACACCAATAACTTAACCATGATATGCCGGAATGATTAAACTATGTGATCCCTATTGGTTTAGTCACCATTTCCCCGGCCCACCATCCACTTTAAGCCAAGGATGATAAATTTTCCAAATCAATAACATAGTTGTTGTTAGTATATGCTCGAGTTTAAACACTTAACACCCTAAATGGCTAACCTTAATCAAATGTGCTCTCATAATCAAGAGTAGTAACTAACCATAGGGGATTGCGCCAATGAGAGATCTTAAAAGCAGATCAAATTGATCATAAGAGTGTTTTTCAAAAAACACAACTTTTTAGAAAAAAAAAAATCCAACGCGCTACGAAATGCTTCCATAGTCCTTTTTTGCAAGTGAAGATGGCTAGACTGCTGCTATAACAAATCCAACTTGCCTCCATTGTGTGCCCTTGTTGAACATATTACCAGTAGCAGAATGTGAATCTTCCATATTATAATTGAATCAGGAAGGCTGGATTGTTGATATTTTTGCAGACCACACACTAAAATAGACAGCATTTTTATTATTGTGTTAATTAATCAAATGAGAATAAGCATCAGCGATTCTTCACTTTCATGGAGCTGCGCTTTTATGAAACTGCATAGTTGAAATCCTATGGCTTCTGCAAGCCCTACTCTTGTTAGGAATCGCAGCCGTCTTGCTGAGGAGGGTGATGGAAAAACAAGAGGCTACATCTTTCTTTAGTTATCTTTATGATGTGAAGACAATCATATCTATATAAAGGCAAAATAAAAGGGAAATAAGGAAAGAATTAAGAAGAAAAATGTATTTCTTAATGAGGATATTTTATAATAAGAAATGCTTTTATTATCTACTATAAATATTAATCACATGTGATAATATTATTATGGTAACATAATAATTTTAACATCTTCTCTACAATCTAATTTATTATTTACAAAAAATTCACTATAAAAATTCGTGTCATGTCTGAGATACATCGGATATGGACAGACACGCGACACTTGTTGGATAAGCTAACAAGCTGTCTAATTTTTAAAAAAAAAATTTGACAAACATGTCGGTAAAAGTTAAAATTGATTTTGATAATATCAAAATGTATGATAAGATATTTGATTTTGATGATTTATACTATACCACATGGCAATATTTATTTTTATTATGCATTATTCTAAAAAAAAAAAATTATGAACATATTTCATTAATATTTTTTAAATTTTGATTGCGTATTATTTATTTTTTTATACCTAATATTTTTTTTAAAAAAAATATTTTTTACCTAATATCTTGATTTATGAAAAATATTTTTTTATTCTTAAATATCATCATTTTCAACTTTCTATTTATTTATTTCATATTTATTTAATTTATGGCATAATATAAATTATTTTAAATTCTTTATCAGTAGCTCTTATAAGCTCTACCTAGGTCGTTTGAGACCACTGCTTGAAGCTCTTGATTCCTTGATGCTATTGCTAAGAGGATGGCTAGAATTTGATGATATGTGATATTTTATTTTCAAATAGGATTTTTTTCAACCTGAATTTTTTAAATATTATAATGTTGCTACTATTAAATTTTGAAATAAAATAAAAGAATAATCGAATAAAACACAAAGATTATAAAAATATATTATGAATATTTTCTTACTTGGTTATAAAAGGTAAGAAAATAATGAATCTAATTATTAAATTTCAAATATATATTAATCATTTTGAAAATATTTAATAAAATCTACATTAAAATGCTTTGATATTAGAGGACATAAAAATTAAAATAATTAAAGAAAAGGTATTTAACCTATAATCATGCTTTAAAAATCGGACTGAATAGTTCTTTAACATATTTAAATTCATTCCACCATGAATTTATGCCATAAGAGAATGACGAGAAAGATTATCTCATCTCAATTCTACGAAGTAATAGCTTAGAGAGAGATATTAGAATTCTTGAATGTTTTGCAATAAAAAAAGCAAGCGATCTATTTTTCATGAAGTTGTTGTTTAATTGGAATATTGTGGCTTCGTTTGAAGAAATGTATTCTTGTTAAATTATGATTAGTTTGATCTTGTCTCTAATTGTGGAACAAGGTAAAGAAAAATGTACAAGATCGTAAAAGTCAAACTGAACGGAAGATGTGTTACATTTGATCCTTTCAATCTAGCAAGACAAACGAGTCGTGTATATTACCTTTGATATCCCGATAGAGCAAGAGATAAAGTTGACTAGGCAGTAGTCATAACTGTTAAGTTGGAGCCTAATCCACGCCTCCTTCTCCCGCTCCCGACTCTCGCTTCAGCCAGCGATTCGCGAACCACTCTGTCGAGAAGCAAAGCTTCGCTTCGGCCCACTCCTTTGTCGTGAAAGGTCGCGACTCCTCCCGCACCTGCCCGATCGTGGAACTGTTCCTGCCTACACCTGTTCCCGCTTCCTGTTCGTGATAAGAGCTTCGGACGACTCTCCTTAGGTTCAGAGAAGTCACAGTTTGAGTTCTTCTTCGGTTTCCTCAGGATAGAGGAAGGTTTCCTCAAGGCAGAGGAAGAGAAGCACAAGAGTTAGTTTCTTGCGGCAGAAGGACGAAGAAGGAAGAAGAAGAAGATTATTCTCCCTAGGCTTCTTTGTGGTGGCTTATGGCAGAAGAGAAATTAGGTTTATTTCTCTTGTAAGTTTATCTTCTTCGGTGTATCTCAGTGTAGAGTTTCTTCGGTGTATCTCGGCGAAGAGAGAGAAGAACAGAGAGAGAAGAAAATAGCAATGAAATGAGAGTGAGAGATTACTCTTGTGAGTCGAGGTGATCGACTGGTGTAAATTCCTCAAGTAGTAAAATTCTCTGCAACTCCGTGGACGTAGACAATTTGTTTATCCACGTAAATCTGTGTGTTTTTCTTAGAGTGATTTTTCTCGTTCTATTTTCGTTTCGTCGATCATTCTTCTGTTTGATTTATAGATATACCACATCAACTGTTGGTATTAGATATCACAACAACAACTGGTATCAGAGCTTTGTTCGGATCTGAGGAAGAATGATGACTGCAGATGAAGTGAAGATTTCAGAGATCAAGAAATTGGATGGCACATATTTTTTTCGTTTCTTGCCGCAGCTATTTGGGAACCACTCTGTCGTGAAGCGAAGCGAAGCTTCGCCCCGCTTCTTTGTCGTGAAAGGTCGCGTCTCCTCTCGCTCCCGCTCGATTGCGGAAATGTTCCTGCTTACGTCAGTTCCCGCTTCCTGTTCGTGATAAAAGCTTCGGATGGCTCTCCTTGGGTTGAGAGAAGTCACGGTTTGAGTTCTTCTTCGGTTTCCTCGGGATAGAGGAAGGTTTCCTCGGGGCAGAGGAAGAGAAGTATAAGAGTTAGTTCCTTGCGGCAGAAGAAAGAAGAAGGAAGAAGAGAAAGATTGTTCTGTTCTCCCTACTTCGTGGTGGCTTGTGGCAAAAGAGAAATTGAGTTTATTTCTCTTGTAAGTTTATCTTCTTCGGTGTATCTCTGTGTAGAGTTTCTTCGGCGTAGAGAGAGAAGAAAAGAGATAGAAGGAGAGAGAGCAACGAAGTGAGAGTGAGAGATTCCTCTTGTAAGTCGAGGTGATCGACTGATGTAAATTCCTCAATTAGTAAAATCCTCTGCAACTTCGTGGACGTAGACAATTTTTTGAATCACGTAAATCTGTGTGTTTTTTTCTGGTGTGATTTTTCACGTTCTATTTTTCGCTTCGTCGATCGTTCTCCTATTTAATTTATAGATATACCACATCAATTATTGGTATATAAATCTCACAACAACAATACCGAGTAAACCTAAAGTGACTATTGATATTCAAAATACTACAGAACTCATTCATATGCATTCCACTTGATTCTACTCATGAAGAGTTAATTTTAGAGGATGTTAATAGAAAACACGAAGAAATTACTCTTAGTAAGTATGACTGGTGATGCTTCGAATGAAAAAAATTTAAGTACATCTTCTAGTCACTCATCAGACGAGGCTGATTAAGATATCTAAGTTATTAAAATTCTTCTAGTACTATAAAAATTACTCGATAGATTGCACTATGTTATATGTAATTTCATTTGATGTTTTTTTTTTTTATATTTTGAGTTGTGGTAGTTTGTATATTGCACTTTATAGTTTAGTATTATGTTTACTTTGTAGATTTCTATTTTCAGTTCCAGTACTGTTGTAGATTGCATTTTACATTTTGTCTGTACTTTCATTTGCTATTCTTACTTACTGCGCAGACAAGCACTTCTTTGTCGCTTTCTACCATGGCCAATGTTGTTCTTGATTCGTCCCCCCAGTCCTCCACCCCAACACCGTTACCTTCACCACACTCCCTGACTTACACCCCCTCTCCTCTGAACATACCGACACTACCACCATCTATGACTAGGGTTGTCAAAATGGCTCGTTGTTCGTGAACAACTCATGTTCGGCTCATTCGCTAACTTAACGAATGTTTATTTTTTAACTTAATTTATAATTTAAGCTATCTAAAATTAATAACTTATTATTATAAATATTGTATTTGAATATTCCAACTCATTAGAATTATCATCGGCCTCAAAATTTAACTCGTTTTTGCTCGAAATACTACAAATCAATTATATATATATATATATATATATAATGAGTAGTATTTTTAAAAAATTTAATTGACTACAATGCTACAAAGATTTATAATCTATTAACAGTATCAATTAAGAAAATTGAATAAAAATTATTAAATTAGATTCAAATGATGTTTTAAATCTTGCCTCAATCCTCAACAACATATGACTATGAGATTAGGGTTGTCAAAACGATTATTTGTTCGTGAACGTTTCGTGTTCGGCTTGCTAAGCAAATGGGCTGAACATTTTGAGCTTGAAATATAAACGAGCCGAACACGAGCTGAACCTGGGCTCGCTCGTGGTCGGCTCATTTACACCCCTATCTATGACTGCAAGTCTACTGCTTTGATGGAGGGTCATGCTGCTGCTCCTGATCGAGAGGCTTCGGACAACATGTGTTGTACTTTTGATCTCGTGCATTTTGGCAAACGTAAGTTTTTTTAGATAGTAGTAATATTACATTATATTTTTTAATTTGCAATCTTAATAACAGTACTTCAATACTTTTAGCAGGAGCAGATATAATAGAGATTGATATGGATAATCCGAAAGTAATAGTGACAGGTTATGTAAATCAAAGTAAAGTTTTGAAGTTTGTAAGCAGAATTGGTAGACAAGCTGAGTTTTGGCCATCTAGATATGATGATGCAGCTGCGCTTTTTAATGATGATAATGTTCATGCTTGCTTGGTTATGTAATCCAGAAAGGAAAAGGTTAAGATAATTATTATGACATGAAATAATTAAGTTTACTATAGTTTATAACAGTTTGGTTTCAGTCATTTGAAATGTTATTTAGGCAACATTGTGCAACTAGAGACCATACATTTGTGAAATAAAAAGGTCGATTGGCCTTTGTCATGATACATATGTTTTGTTAGTAGTAGAATCTGATATGAATTTGGAGGAGTAATTAAGTTAAGCTGATTTGAGTTCGACTCATTTATGGACTTGTGAGTTAGGATGATTATTAAAATCTCTCTCTGTTTGCCTATGTTTGCAGGAAATTTGTACAATTATTTAACAAAATGATACAATCAATTAATAGTTAATCAACTAACTCTAGAATCGATTAATCAAGGACTGGGCTAGAGGTTAAAATAAGCCTAATTGACAGCCGACTCCAAGTTTTTATTTTTAAAAATTATTTACAATGCTAAATAAATATAATGCAATGCGCTACGAGCTTATTTTGAGCTGAAATAGTTTAAATTAACTCAAATATGAGCAAGCTCGTTTCGATTTCAAGCCGGATCGAGCTCGACTCAATTTCGAACCAAGTTGGTTTGAAATCAAACATAATAAGCCATGAGCCGATTTCGATCCCAACTCAATTTATTCGAGCCTATTTTGAGCCGGCCCAGCTCGGCACGAAATCCTCTCATTAACAATCCTAATCAAGAGTTACTCCTTTTAATTTCATATATATGTGAAATTTCAGCTTCATGCGGATACATTCTAGTGCTACTTGTTGAAGATTATGTGGGATAGATGGCTGGAAAAGAAAAGGCTTGAATTTGTCATGTTTATTCTAGAACAAGTAGCACATAATTCTTCAAACCTAGTCAATAATATACAGGCAAAGATGTTTTTTTAAGCATATTTTAGAATTGTTCAGTCCCTTCAAATCAATATTAAATTATTTACAGCTAAACGTGATCCCAAACGGCCTCAAAGAATAAGAGAACTGTTAAAAGAAAAATAAATTTTTAATAGCCTTGATACCTTAAATATAGGAATCGCTCTCTGAAGATATAATGATAAATCAAATGTGTGCCCAAGTCTTTGGTGCGTATGAAAATGGAAATAGTAATAAGCCAAGTTACAGAGAATGAGGCATTGATTGTGAAATAGAGTTATTCCTCTATGAATTTGAGGCAACTTCTTCTCAACTGTAGAATGTTATACTATTTTCAAAATTATCATGGAGTTGCATAAAATTAATAGAATTAAGAATATAGAGATGGTAGCTATGAAGAAAATTACCATGATGTTACTCGTACAAATTAGATGATGTTATTGGAATGTTAGTATTATTAATGTTTAGATTATGAAAATATTGCATATTTTGATGGGAAAATAATCATCTAAATTTATTTACTTTGTTTCATTAATATCATCATGTCAAAAAGAGAAGACAAACCGTTGATAATATTAACTTAGTCTATCAAATAATATTGAAGGTTGCTCTGACGGTATGATATTTAGTTTAATTAAATTAATAAGGGTGGAATTAGCATCTTTTTTAAGGGGGCAAACTGCCCCGCTAGACTCAACTTAGGAGGGCTTACGGCAACGAAGCGTAAAGTGATATTTCAAAAAGGACAAATAACTATATAAGTAAAAATTTGAATTTGAGAGAAGTGAGAGAGGGGTCAACCCTACTTGAGTCCACCCCTGCTTGACTAAATGTACACATGTGAATTTATTAATGCTCCCACAACTAAAATAAGTTAAAAGTTATACATATACTAAAACTGATAGATCAGTTAATATCTACATCACTCATCAAAATTGTTATAAGAAATTCTTCCTAAGAGATCACATGAGTGCTAATTAATTTATTTTCAAATTTGTGATAACCATGGAATATTATGTATAGTATAAATAATTAGAAATTTTATAAATCCCGTGTAGATTTAATGGAAAAACATTTCCTCAAGTGATCATTTTGTGAGGAAAATCTTATAAAAATTTTGCCTATATTTCAGAGAGGAAATATTATGCTTCTTATTGTTGATATCTGCAGGTGATCCCAAATATTAAGATACTATGTCCAAAATCAAATAACTAGAATAAAAGATTAATTAGTTAATCAGATATATTAAACCAAAAAATAAGAATACTTGCCAATATAACTGATCTGAAAGAATGAATAAACCAACAATCAAGATTAGCAAATGGCCTACATAAACATGCCTTGAATAGAGAGCACATATGGATAGTCACCATTTACAATTATACAACAAAAATAAATCTATATATTTATGTTTTTCATAAAATGCAACAATTTGATTTCATCATAGCAGATGCAAAGTTGTCAATCCCTTCAAGGGAATGCCAACAGTGAATACCCACAAGCAAAAAGAAGAAACTAGAAAATGAACAAACAAGTTAGCATGGTTCAAGTTTTTGCAAACTCTACTTTTACGATACTATCCAATCACTTTATTATAAAGTTGTGAAGAACATATACAATAGAAGTTTATTTTAATCATAGATTAAGATTAATATAAGCTAAATAAGATCAACTTATAACTAGATAATATTTATCTTATAATCACACAATATAAGAAAAGCCAAACCTCACAAATCTCAATATTCTCTTATGGAATAAGTAAAAGAAAATGTTAGTGTCGAAGCACCAAAGCTACCATTAAGGTGGAGGAAGAAAGATAATTTTATCGGAAAGTCCCTGGACAACCAAATTGAAATCACCAAATTGATTTAAAACCTAATTCACAGTGAAACTCCTAGTAGAGGTTTGCTCTTCCATAGAGTCGTCCAACTTAAGAGTACCTTATCATAAGAGCTCTCCCATACCTCTAAAAATAGGGAAATTCAAGATGCCTCGTGGATAAAGGAGATAATCACGTGACAGGAAGCCTAAAAACTCAAACCATGCATGAATTATAAAGTATAAGTTGAACATAGATCAAACTAAACACTAAGCTTTGGACAAATATTGAATAAACAAATCTCAAATTCTTTGAACTGCATATCTCAAACTTCTATCGAGATCTCCTTCTATGATATGGAGTGTAGTACTTACTTTGTATGATATCCTTAATAACATGGATAGACAGAGTAGACTGATAAAGTATGAAAGGAAAATATAATTAGTTTTTATAAATATAGATTTATAACTCATTATAATTATTTTCTACTATAATTTAAGAAACATATACATATATTTTTTTAATATTACTCAAATTCATAATTTATATTTAACATACATATTAGTATGTCGTGTCTATTTTTTTCTTTAACTGAGGATAGAATGTTTATTAAATTACACATTTTTTTTTGGAGAGTATTTGTTAAGTTTACACTAGTTCTTCAATTTACATGTTTTGATATTTAAGTGATAGTGTTTAAGATTTTTTCTTAAGGTATGTTTGGGGTGGTTGCAGTTCTTTTAAGAAACAGTTGTATAGTTGCTACAGTAGAAACTATTTTTCAATTAATTGTCGTGACTATTATATATTTTTTTTAATTATTATCAAAAAGTCATATTGCGGCCTTCAGCCAGCCGCCGCACTTAAAAAACAAACAAAACATAATTTTCTCAAATGCTACCCATGTGCGGCACCGTACCACCACCGCAGGGCTGCCCTAGACACACCCCAAGTCTTCATTCTTCACATATCTTAAAGATTTATAAAAGTTCAGCTCAATAAAAAATGTCAAAAGAAAACTAGCTATATAAATCCCTGGTTCAATTTAATGGAACTAACCATCAACTTTAAAATGGTGCTATCATTGCTTATAATGATATTTTTATTTTTCTTGCTCCTTAGAAATTCTTCAATGCAAGAGAATTAGGGTTGTAAACGAGCCGAGCTTGTGAGCACAGGCTGGACTCGTGTTCGACTCGTTCAAATTGCTCATGTCCGAAATCGGCTCGTGAATAGTGTGTTCGTGTTCGGCTCGATTTAAATATTTGTGCTCGTGTTCGACTCGTATTCAACGCGAAATTGGCTCATTAAAATTAAATTGAAAAAAAATAAATTTAAAATATTGGATTCAACCTGGATCAAATGTATGCAAAAAAAAGACACATAATCACATTACTATACAAGGCACTTAGATATAAATACATATAATATATTATTATATAAATAATAAATGTAATATATTAATATATAAATAATTATATAATTTTTTTTTTATTTCGAGCTAAAACAAGCCGAACACTTGCTAACAAAAAAGATGTTCATTTTCGGCTCGTTTATAATTCAAGCTTTAAAAACTTGTTCGTGTTCAGCTCATTTTCTTAACGAACGAGCCGACCACGAGCTGTTCATGAACAATGAGCTTTTTTTACAGCCCTAAAGAAAATGAGTGAATTAAATATATGTTTAAAAGTGCCTAGATTAAGTTTTTGTGAGTCTTAACACTTTATTTAAGAAAGTACAGCTGTATATTTAATAGCTACATCTGAAAAATCTTTATTTTATGGCAAAATTTAATTAAAAAGTATTCTATAATTCATACATTTGCCTTAGATGTAATCTGTCAGGTATAGCCATACCTCTACCTCCACTTATAAATAGGGGTGAGGAAAAGCCTGGAGCACAATAAACTATGATCTTAAAATTCTCTTCTTTCTAGCAATAAATAATAAACCTCTTTCGCTCTCTCTTTTCTCTCTTCTGCTCTGCCACTTTCTTAATTCGCATTTGGTAGCCAATGTTAATAATAAAAACATGCATGGTGCCAACTGCAGCAAACATAAAAAAAATCAACCATGGCCTTAAAGATCTTGTATGCAGAGAAATGCCCAAATTTACCTAAAACTAGTTGTTGAATCAGAGAACCGAAAACAATTTATTGCTTCTTGGTTTTGGTATGATATGGTTAGAAATAAGAAACTTAGATTAAAATAGAATGAAACTACTTGCTCCTTTAAACAGGCACTATGTCACTTCTTGAACCGGTCGATTGATTGATTCAACCGTGAACTAACTATAGATCTCGTTTCAATTTATATAAAAGTCGTGTCCGACATTCAGGTCTGATTTTCAAAACCTTGATTATAGCTTATCACAAGTGGCTCCAAAACATATATACTAACCAAGTCGGAGTAAAAATTCAAGAAGAAACCATGCCTACCACCCTGTACAAGGGACAACTTGATTCAAGTAATCACGTCCTGAAACCTCTTTTACTACCTGCTGCGCTCGCAATCCCTCTGCTTGTATTCTGCTTTGATTTGTTATAATCGTACAATTGCCGCTCGCAGAAGCATCTGATACCTACTCCTCTTCCAATTTAACCATGAACAGATGCAACTTAGGAGAGTTGACAAGAAGACAAATGGAAGCGATCCATGTTTGTAGCTGACCTTTACTTGATTTGTAAATAGCATTGTTTCATGTGCTATATATATAATTATTCAAAAGAAAAAAAAAATGCTAAGCTCTTAATCCTGAGGGACTGCGAATTGAAGAAATTAGGGTTCATTAAGCTCTGGCTTCGTATTGGCTAAAATAATGCGGGTATGAAGTTACAACTTACAAAGGGACGGGGGAAGAAGATTTATATTTTTACTTTTTAAAATCAATATATTACAAATATATACCCCTAGAAAAAACAAATACATCACTTGAAATATATAATTTAATTAAATGCCATATAAGCGTTAATTTATATTTTATTTTCTATGTCATTCAAATTCAATCAACTGTTTTCATTGCAATATCATCACATCAGTTGAAAATTTTAATACGAAAATATATATATTATTGTTATAATATATTTTTATTATAAGGATATTCTCTTTATTGTTTCATATATATAATTATAGTATCAAAATATATCAACTAAAATGTAGTATTTTAATTTTTATATCATGGTATTATAGGTTTTATCCAGCACTTTATCTTTAATTTTATGGTCCTCTCTCATCTATTGATGGATTGACATCATGAGCTCTAGGATATTGGCATTATATAATGACACACATAGAATACAGTATTATAATATTATATTTTAAAATTTATAATATTATATAGTAATTACGTGTCAGCTACTCCTTGATTAGAACCCCAAAATGTTAAAAGAAAATTGTAAAACCAATTGGTCCTATTTAAATTTTTTTTTTTTGATATTCTCAATAGATTATGTTAGATTATCCAATTCCATAATGAATGATACTTTAACAGGGTCCAATAGAATGTACTATAAATGTATGTATCTACTCAAAAGGGGCTATAAGTCCTAACTTCACTAGAATGTTTGAGTTACATAAGGCCGCATTGGATAATCAATATCTTATCATGAGTTAAAGTCATAAGGATCGCCACGTATTTTGTGTCAAAGTAATGACATGCATATATTGTTTAACCTTGCATTTAGCTATATTCTTCACCAATCAATATAATAATGGTTATTGGGCATCTTGATCTTATGATCATAACTCTCATGTTATGCTCCTTCATGGGTGGATTAATTTTTGTTACTCTAAACCCCATCTTTGGCCAAATCCCTCAACCGAGTTATAGTTCTTGCAAGATGGGATTTGTATTCCCTTGTGACCTCATGGTGTTATATATAAGTCCTTTCCATAATATATATATATATATATATATATATATATATA